GTCACTATGTACTATGATAAAAAAAAAATTGAAAGTGGGGGGCAGTGGGTTAACCAGGGCCAGCTTCTTTTCTTGGGTGGGGGCGGGGAGGCAGGGGGCATGGGACAGGGGTAGAAACACCACTGACGAGTGGAACTGTTGGAACTACAATCATCTTCAAGAGAAAGAGAAGCCGTGGTCAACAAACATTATCAAGGTAGCAAACTCAAGGTCATTCTAAATGATGGCATAATATGTTATAATGTATTACTTCCGGTTGATGTTTTTTCTTTAACTGCTGTCTGATAATGAAAAATGAAATTCAAATCCTTTTAAACACGTTTAATATCTATAGGTGGGCCTACTAAAGACAATGCCGTTTATGAACGGAAATATAAAGCCTGTTCCAACTTGCCCAGATCTCCCCTACTTTACGGTAGGAGAAAAGTGGTAAATTCATCTCATTTATAACGAGATTTCGTAGCCTTGACCTCAGCAATATGAAAACTAAATGTCACCCGATTTCACTCCAATTCGTGACTATATATTAATGATATAATATAAATCATTTACATAAATAACTTGCTAAATATTATTAAATAAATTACATGTAAATACATTTGAGGCTACGATAATCCTATCAAGAGGTTAAAATCGCTATGATAATCCCCCACGATTGGCCATGGTTCTGGAACAAGCTTATTGTAATGTCAGAGACAAGCCAATCAAGAATGTAATGGCCGAATCGGCTCACAGTAATCTCTTTGATTAGCCAATGAATGCAGTCGTTGAATCCGCACCTATTAATCCCACTGATCCGAACAATGAATGACATACGTAATAATTAGTTCGTATATAATTGGTACATAGTGATTGGTTGCTGCATGCAATATTGTTTAATGTTTCAATGCCAACGCGTACAGGTTTGCATGCTTATATTGACATACACTGACCACAATAGACAGCCATCTCGATTGAAGATCCAGGTATGTGTTACCTTTACTTTGATTTTTGTGTATTTCTTCTGAGCAATAGATTGAGACGCGAAGAAACGGTGTAAAAAAAAAACATTGATGTAGATTTTTACATTTGGTATAATTTTTCTCTCAGCAATAATCAAGGACTTTATTAATAGTTAAAAGAGTATTAGGTATCTTGACTGAAATATTTTGATCAGAAGCCGTTTAGGTTACATTTTATATCTCGTTTTACAAAAAGACATAATGTTATGATATAGTATTTAACAGCCCATCTGCCATTATTATAGCGGCTTTTATTTTTACAATTAAATAGCAAATAATGATATTATTACCATCTAAAGAATACGTCTGGGTTTCCTGAACTCGACCCAACAATATTGCCGTATGCTTGCATTCCCTTTTAATTATCAAAACTTTACCTTTGCATATTCAAGATTCTTTTGGCATAAATCTTATTGAGTGCATCGTTTGAAGCATAGGCCTATGCCTGCCAAAAACATGACTCACCAAACCGACACATATTATTATAAGATGCATCATGAAGTTGGCAATTGCATGAGAACCAATTAAAGTTGTCTGGTTCAACTGACATAATAATCAGATAGCGTGATCAAAATAGTAAAACATCTTATAGCCAATGCATACACCGAACTTTGAAATCTTAAATAATTTAAAATATAGTAGTTTATGTAATGAATGTTTTAAACCACTGCTTTGGTATAAATGTAAATGTCCTTACAGACTATTAGAACTATGGATAGGCGGATTGGAATAAAAAGAAACTAATCACGCCAGTCAATAGAACCGGAAGTAAACAATATTGCACCTTTACTGATATGGACATAGATATTTATTCATATAACCAAAACCATTGTATTGTTAGAAATGATTGGTAATGACAATATGATTTTAATTTTCGATATATCTCTCTCTGTTCACGTTTATAAATGGTATTCTTTATGATTTTTTGACTTACTTTTTCTTCAACTTCCATTGCATTGATAGCTATTTTTCAATTTTCAATATAAAATTAATTGAATATGCTGATCGAATAGAGAGAGCGTACATTTCCGATATCCAAGTATATCACTTTTCAGAAAGACAATTTGACATATGGCTCCCTTAGTAAAGTTAGTAGCTGAAAGAAACTGGTTAACATCTAAGACCCAGATTTATTGTTCAAAATGTAAATGACTTATTACTTATTAAATTGATTCATTTATTACCTAATCACTCGTTAGTCATAATATCTTTCACCATGTGAATAACTAACTATCGAGTGTTATACACATTGCTTCTAGCTGATTGAAAATGGTAATAACCGACAACGAGGTCTTTAATTTTTGGCAGATGTCGACGAAGATAACATTTGATTCTGAGCTAAATTAAAATTGTAGGTTGCAAGTTGCAAGACTAAGACTTCGTCGCCTCAATTGCATTAACACTAACTTTCTCCTTTTTTTAAACTAATTAACACAAGTTTAGAATGCTTGGTCTATGATTTACCGAGATTTCATAGTTGTAGTTAATTTTTGCTTAGGTGCACGTTTCGTTTTCTAAAGAATTTTTTGATTCGGTTATTGAGGACTGTCTGCCAAGTCGCTAAGAACTGTCCTCAATTCTGTTATTTCTTTAAAACCGGATTGGTGAATTTTAGACAAACTAAGATCCGCTACTGTACGCCCATTGACGTCAACGTTTTATTGATATCTTCAATTTTCTTATTGATTTCGTTCTAAGCGACTGAATGTAATCATGGAAAAATTAAGCATTCAAGGTTCACATTCATGTAATTCCACGATTTTAAATGAAAATTAAATGGAATTATTCTATTCCCGAATAAAATTACAAGTAATTGCGAATTACGTCTCATTTGATCTGTTGATAGGTCACACTGACGTCATGCTGGGTTTTGGAATTGATAATAATGGGCTAGATATTGATTTATATAACAAATTGGATGACTACAAAATACTGTCAGTTTCAAAAAAATAAAACACAACACAGAAACAATTCATTCTGAGTTTTGGCATATTCAAAACTTAAAACTCCCAAAAGACGTCCGGCGATTAATAGAGACAATAAAAAGGCTAAATATAGACTGTACAAATATAGAATCGATAAATTACCTTTCAAGTGTCTCTTGGGTACTACCTTTGTCCGAGTTTCATAAAGAACAAGTTTATCTTTGATGGACACTTATTGTAAGTGATGCAAGATGAATGTTTACTGGTGATAGTTTGCCTTCAAATTTATTTTCTCCATAAAAAGCGAATGTTTTGGAAAATTTTGGGTGGTACAAAACCTTTGATCTATGTTTTATTTAACAAATTGATATTTATCAAATTAACATCAGGGCCAATATTTTATATATATGTGTCACCGACGTCTTCTGATCTGTTCTTCGGCAGTTCATCATAAACATTGAAGATCCTGTGATTATTGTATATAAATAACTCAAAATAATTGATAAAGGTTCCAGATCGTTCTCTATTTATTTATTGTAGCCAGCTGGTCTATTGCAGTTAATCATCGACGTTAACCATTAATTACCCCCATTAACAAATATATTTATACAATTGCATATAATTTTGAAATAAACTTGAAAACCACATTAAAAATCAATCAGAACTTCGATTGCAATTCATTCCATTAGTTTGAAGTGAAAATATGTTTTTTTTTATCTTATTTTTCAGTTGTGATCACTGGGTTATATCAATCACCAAGCAACCGATCTAAATATCTACTATTGATTACTTTTTATCAGCGGGCTCCCGTGAATTCAGTTATTGTCAAGATCAGAATACAGTGTTAATTGTTGGTCTCTTATGCAACATCTTCTGGTGACGGCAATTGCTAGCTATCATGTAGACATTTTATATTGAGGCCGCAGAAAGTTAACAGAAATACTTTATCTCGAGTTATAATTTATAAAAAAGGACTTCACAGTGATAAACGGAACTTTTGTGTGGTTTAATTCATTTGAAAGTTGAAACATGGCTCTTATAGTTGTATTTTTACTCATGTGCCTTATTTGGGTAGAGGTGGATGGAAATACATCATCAGCATCAGCTTCGATGTCATCTCTGGAACAATGTTCTAATTCTATGTCATATGATATGAGGATGTCATCGGAAAGTATGCCAATGCCATCAGAAAGTATGCCAATGCCATCAGAAAGTATGCCGATGCCATCTGATTTCATGTGGATGTCATATAGTTATCATCACGACCCGTCAGCGTTATATGACAGACAATGACGGAAATACTATATGGTTACTTTCCGCCAATGCCACCGATGTCATCTTCGAGTGAAATGTCACTGCCACCGATGTCATCTTCGAGTGAAATGGCCACCACCGCCGATGTCATCATCGAGTGAAATGCCACCACCGCCGATGTCATCCTCCAGTGCAATGCCGCCACCCCCGATGATGTCTAGTGGTATGCCCCCTCCAATGTCAAGTAGTATGCCACCACCACCACCTCCATCGTCCTCAAGTGGTATGCAACATGGTATCCAATCTTCAATGGCACCATCTGAATCACATACTTCTTCGACAACCCCACCGATGTCCATGTCTTCTTCTATGCATGGTAAGTTGCTTTTCTTTGCTATTTAGCTTTTAGTTTTTTTCTACAAAATATATAGCAATTTTTTTTATCTTTGTAACCACTATAGTGCGTGCTCACAAACATCTGTCTTTTGGTATGCGGATCTATAGACACCCCTTTAGTTGCTTTACTATCCTTTTTGCTTAACGTAAAGTCTCCTATATGTCAATTGTTCTTGTTCTTGTGAAATATTTTGAAAACCTCCACAGTTCGTTTAAAACAGTTTCAGAATCGAATGTGCCAATATCATTTACATCGGCATCATCTTCATCATCATCATACCCACCATTAAATCAATCATTAATGTCTGAATCATACCAACCACCAAGTCATTCATTAATGTCCGAATCATATCCACCACCAATGCCTGGATCATACCCTCCATCAAGTCAACCACCAATGTCTGGATCACACCAACCACTTAGTCAACCACCGATGTCTGGATCAAATCCACCAACGAGTCAACCGCCAATGTCTGAATCATATCCACCACCAAGTTTACCATTGATGTCCGGATCATACCCACCATCAAGTCAACCACCAATGTCTGATTCATACCCACCACCTATGTCAGGATCATACCCCCCAACGAGTCAACCACCAATGTCTGGATCATACGCACCACCAAGTCAACCACCAATGTCTGATTCACACCCACCACCAAGTCAACCATTAATGTCCGACTCATATCGACCACATATGTCTGGATCATACCCACCACCAAGTCAACCATTAATGTCCGACTCTTATCGACCACAAAGTCTATCATTAATGTCCGGATCATACCAACCACCTATGTCTGGATCATACCCACCGCCTAGTCAACCAATAATGTCCGGATCATACCCACCAACAAGTCTGCCTTTAATGCCCGAATCATACCCACCACCAAGTCAACCGTTAATGTCTGAATCATTCCCTTCATCAAGTCATTCATTAATATCTGGATCAGACATACCCCATAATCATTCATTAATGTCTGAATCAAACCCTTCCAATTTTTTTACGTCTGAACCATCCCTACCACCAAGTCAATCTTATTATGTATCAAATTTGTCACTAGATCAGTCACAAATGTTTGGATCTAACCCACCACCAAGCCAACCACCAATGTATG